GAAGTAAAGAGACAAGGGGGTAAAAAGGGGAGGGAGAAGAAGAGGGGGAAGAAGGAAAGGAAAAGAAGTTATAAAAGAAGAAACAAGATATAGAGAAACAGGGCAAAGGTATAAGGATTGAAAGTATAAGCCTGTTTAGAGATAATGTTTGAAAATTTAACTGAAAAAGGGATTCTGCAATGGTACATAATATAGTATTGTCATATTAGAAATAGAAATAATTTTAGAAAATATGATGACTAAAATGATGGATAAAATATTTATCGTAATATAGTGGAATGTTTGTTAATAAATAAATGAAAGAAAGTGAATGAGAGAATGAAATTATGAAAGGATTGGAACATTTTAATTATTATTAATGATTTATAAAAATATAAGTGAAGAGAAATATGGGAAAAAAAGAATTAATTATGGAAAGTCTATAAGTGTTCACAAGGAAGTATGATATTCAATTGAAAAGAATAAGATGTTAAGATTTTAATGAATATTAATGATAGATTTGAATTGGAATGGAATGAGTGTTTTATTTAGAGATATATATAATTTTTTAAGAATATAGTGTGTATTTTAAGAATGTGCCAAGCAGAATTCGATTGGAAGCTATGTATTATATTGATTGTTATAATCTTAAAGGTATAAATTGAAGTTTAAATAAGAGTTGAATGGATAAAATTAAAAGATATAATTAGTAACTCCAATTAGTAACTACAGGGGAAAATTTGTTTAATTAGAAAAGATAATATGAAATTGAAACAGGACAGATAAAAGTACAAATATAATGATTTGAACTGAGATATGGGATAATTAAAAATAAAGTTGAGAAAATCAAAGGAGGGGAAAAACAATGTAGAAAATGTTAAACAGTAATAAGACATGGAATAGAACACAAAGATGAACATGAAATTGAGTTTGTGTCTGTATAAAGAAGTGATAACCCGTGATCATGCTATTCTCAAAAAAAGATGTTTTATTTGTATTATGTTTTTTTGTGAAAACCCAAATAAAATTTATATTTAAAAAAAAGGCAAAGTGCTATTTGCTTATTGATTGGCTTGTGGTGAAAGGCAGAATAGAAATCCAGAATACATAATTGAAATGGCGTGAGCTTAATTTTTTTATTGGTTTATGTCCCACCTTTATTGTTATAACTCAAGGTAGTGAACATATCTAATCCTTCCATCCCCTATTTTCCCCACAATAACAATCCTGTGAAGTGACCGGGCTGACCCAAAGCCTTCATATCTAAGACAGGAGAAATGCTCATAGTATCCTGATTTGTAGCCTGGTGACTTAACCACTAGACCAGGGCTGTCGAACTCCCGGCCCACAAGCCGGATGTATCACGCGCTGGCTACGCCCATGCCCCGTTTAGCGAAGGGGGAAAAAGTCCCGATACCTCACATGACATCGTCGTGATGACGTGACTTTGACACCCTGCACTAGACCAAGCTGACTCTCACCTACTGTATATAGCACTAGTACATACTAAACTATGGTATGAGTTTCTCCATAATTGGATCATACCTTCACTAAGATAAGCACCTAACCCACTTTGTTGTGGCATATAGATGTATTATTCCTACCATGGATATTCAGTATGGTAGAGGTGAAATGTTAATATCGATACAAGGTTCATATATGCTTTTTATGGATAAAGACACGAAATTAGGAAGCCTGACACCATGGCTTATAGACACCATGTTAGGCACAAAGACAGCTGGGTAACTTTCGTGCAGACAATTCTTCTCAGCATAGGAAGGAGGCAATTGCAAACTACTTCTGAAAATTTTTGCAAAGAAAATTGCAGGGACTTGGCCAACTAGTCACCAGAAGTGAAGCGTGACTGGAAGACAAAACAAAACAAAACAAAACAAAAACTGTTTATAGCTGCTTTTAAATACATGAAAGCAAAAGTTATCTTAAAAGGGAAGAAGTGAATGAAGCTGGAGATTCTATAAAAACAACTCCTTTGAACAAGGAAATTACAACTTTTTAAAATGAAAGTATAGATCTTGAGATTAGCCAGGGGATCAGAATTTTTGTACTCTTCTTGCTGAAAAAGAATCAGATTCTAAAAGAAAGACCTCTCTTTTTAATTTGTAATTTTAAAATTCAATTGAAGCAGCTATATACATTTTTTGTTTTTTGTTTCTCTTCAAGTTACTCTTCACTCCTGGTGACTGTCTGGCCAAGTCCCTGCAATTTTCTTTGCAAAAATTTTCAGAGAATCTGATTCTTTTTCAACAAGAAGAGTTCAAAAATTCTGATCCCCTGGCCAATCTCAAGATCTATACTTTCATTTTAAAAAGTTGCAATTTCCTTGTTCAAAGGAGTCATTTTTTATAGAATATCCAGCTTTATTTACTTGTGCCTTTTTAAGATAACTTTTGCTTTCACATATTTAAAACTTAGATGGGAAAATGCTGTTATGTACTGAGTATCTCTCTTAGGGAAGCTCATTCTTCTGGAAATTTGTCATATCATAAATGACGTTGAGGATTTTTTTTTCCAAAGCAAGAAACCTTAGGAACAGCTGAGATTGGACATTGTTGTCCTTAAAAAATAGATTTCAGTGATAGTGATAGTCAGATTGCATTCTCAACGACTACTCTGGGTGAACATGTTGCTTGTTATGGAATCTTCATCAGATAGTAGAAACTAGTTTTATAATATCATATAATGACATTATATGTTTTATATATCTCTCTCTGTGTGTGTGTTGCACATATAACCTGTCATTTCTCCAGGCTTTTCATAGTTGTCTCCTATTTTGACATCTTGTAGTTTCCATGCCCATAGATCTAATCTCTGCAACACTAGGTTACAATGGCACTTGTAACCTGTGTAAGATTTATACACGTGCTTAAAACTTACAATTACATCAATGTAGTCATAGGTTTTTGTAAAACAGTCACTTTCTATACTTCTTCCACACTATGTATGTAGCATAGGATAGCTGAACTCCATACTTTTCCTACTTTTATGAAATTAATCAGAATGTTTTTCTCTAGCCAGGACAATTTCATCTGAATTGGTTAATATTTACATTATTTAAGTGTCTTTATATTACTTAACTCTTTATGTTTATCTTTCTGATTAGCCAACTTTTTAATGGCTAACTAGAATTTGTCAGTAAGCGGAGGTAAGATTGAAAATGTTATTGCTGTTGTTGAATAAATATTAACTGAGTTCTAGTTTTAAGTACTGAAAATTTAAAAAAATATTTTTAAACTTAATTAAAATTTAATTATATTTTAACAGATGTGGGAAGAAGCCATTGTCTTGGGCAAAGAGCTTTCAGAACAATATGAAAATGAAATGTTTGATTATGAACAACTTAGTGAAGTACTGGTAGGTTTGTCTTTAACTCACTGTAAATGACTTTAATCACATAAGTATCTCAGTATTAATTACAAAGCAAATTTGCAAAGGATTATGCTGATATCTGAAATGAGCATATTTCACAACATATTAAAAGTTTGAATTAGAAGTATGTCTTTTTAACAAAGCATATTGTACTTATTTTAGTGTTTAGATAGTCCTTGGATGGTAATTGGGATCGTAATTTCCGTTTGCTAAGCAATGCTGTTATAAAGCCCAGTGTCACATGATCACATCATTTCGCAATAGCTATTCTGAACAGTCCTGGTTGCTGTTGTTAAGCAAGGACTGTGTGGGTTGTTAAGTGAGGACTGACTTCAGTAGTGGTCTGGGCCTGTTTTAAGAGCAGAGTTTACCATAGAGTTATACTGAAATGATTATTACTAAACAATTAGCTTGTGAAACTTTATGCACCGAAAGTTTTAGCAAATTTCTTTGCATATATTTTCAGATGGGTATGTAATTATAGTCTCTCTTGTCCTTTGTGTATAATAAGTGATGATATACATTCAAGTACCTCCTCTTCTCTTATAGTGTTTCTATATGGTGCAAAATATAAGTTGGTGTAAAAGAATATTATGATATCTGAATTGAATCAAGCAGCAAACTAAAACCAGAAATTTATACCTAAAATAATTAAAGCCTAAAGATGCAAAACATCTTGGCTCTCCCAGTGTTAAGTCTGATGAGCTCATCTATTTTTATTCAAAATACAAAATCAAAAATCCTATGTCATGAATTGTGCTGAGCTTGACTAATATGGCATACACACAGACACAGACACACACAGAGAGAGCACGTACATCCATACGCTGCTCTCTTCACCCCCCAAAAAGAAGGTGGGATATAAATTTGATATCAGTGAGTTTAAAATAAAAGTTTCTAATTCATCCCATGACAGTTGCCCATATGTATGCACGTGTATAAAATACTCTCTAGAATCCCTTGGGATCAATGCAGTCAACGTCTTACGGCAGAGCACACTATCGAAAAGCAACCTATGAAGTGATAAAACAGTATCACATGCTGGATTAAGCGTACCATAAATAAGAAGGCCTCTTGATGCAGAACTTTCCAATCAATTCTTGTAACTTCAGTCTTTCTGTAGAGGAAGCAGACATGTTTCGCATCTAAGAATTAGGTATAAGGGAAGAATATGCTTGAACGTAGTATTGGATATTAGAAAAGAAAAACAGCATTATGACTAAGGGGTACTACTCTTCGTAGTAGTGCCAGAGTAGAACATTAGATTATTAAGAGTTGAGCATTAGATTGTTACTCTCCCTAGGTTCAATCAAAAGCATACGGTAGTATTCTGAGATGGAAGAAATACTTCCAACAGTACTTTCATTTATCTTCTCATTAAAAATCCGCCCTGTTTGGAGCAATACCATTGTATATTTGTTCCAGGTGATTCAGCTATAAAAGCTGCAAGTAATTCTCTGTATCTGACCATCAGATTTTCCCTTTGACTACTAGCTGATACATTTGCAAAAGATTTTCAGTACAGTCCATAAATAAAAGAAATTAAGAGAAATTGGCCTTCTCTTTTCCATTTATCAGTTAGATTTTTCACAGAAAGTAACTTACCTTATTAACATAGCATCCTATAGAACTAGGATGAAATGCATTGAACCAGGGGTGTCAAACTCAAGGCCCATGGGCCAGATCCAGCTTGCGGGGGCTTAAATCTGGCCTGCGGGGCCACCCTGGAAACAGCAAAGGACTGGCCTGCAGTGCCTCTGCCAGTGAAGACAGAGCTTGGGATGATGCACGGGCTCCGTTTTAGCTGGCAGAGGGCTGCAGGAAGCCATCGTGGCTGAAAATGGGGCATAGGGGGGCACAGGAAGAAGAAAGAAGAATAAAGAGGGAAAGAAGGAAGGAAGGAAAGAAAGAAGAATATAATGAGAGTGAGGGAGAGTCTGCCTTAGCACTTGCCACCACAGGTGCCCCTGACACAAGAGACATCAAGCTGGCCATGCTCACCCCAGCCCACCGAGGTCAAGCTCAACCCTTATGCGGCTCTCAATGAAATTGAGTTTGACACTCCTGCATTAAATATTTCTTATTTGTAACTAGCTGTGATTGGAAAGGTTTATGAAAAAAAAGAAAATACAATCTCCAGAAAAAGAATGTTCTAAAAACTATGTTTTTCTTAACACAGAAAAAACAAGCACAGTTCTATGAAAACATTGTGAAAGTAATAAGACCTAAACCAGATTACTTTGCAGTTGGTTACTATGGACAAGGATTTCCAACATTTTTACGGGTAAGTTAAAAAAAACCTTCTCTACTTTGATTTTGCTGCAGGCTAGAAAAACACATTATGTATTCTATACACTTTGAATGAAAGACAGTATTCCAAATGTTCATAAATCCAGTTTATTGAGAATAAAATAGAGTGGAAGACACAGTGGGTGGTCATGGTACAATTTTTTTTTTGAAAATTTTATTTGGGTTTTCACAAAAAAACCATAATACAAATAAAACATCTTTTTTTGAAAATAGCATGGTCTCCGGGTTATCACTTCTTCATATAGACACAAACTCAATTTCATGCTCATTTTTGTGTTCTATTCCATATCTTATTACTGTTTTACATTTTCTACATAGTTTTTCCCCTATTTTAATTTTCTCAATTTTATTTTGATTCTCATCTCAATTCAAATCATTATATTTATACTTTTGTCTGTCCTGTTTCAAAATTTCATATTGTCTTTTCTCATTAAACAAATTTTCTCCTGTAGTTACTAATTGGAGTATGACACCTTTCTATCTTTTAATTTTATCCATTCAACTCTTATTTAAGCTTCAATGTATACCTTTAAGATTATAACATTCAATATAATACATAACTTCCAATCAAATTCTGCTTGGTACATTCTTAAAATACACACTATATTCTTAAAAAAAGATTATATATATATGTAAATAAAACACTCATTCCAGTCCAATTCAATTCTATCATTAATATTCATTAAAATCTTAACATCTTCAACATTTCTTTTCAATTAAATATCAAACTTCCTTGGGAACACTTATAAACTTTCCATAATTAATTTTTTTCCATATTTTTCTTCACTTATATTTTATGAATCATTAATAATAATTAAAATGTTCCCATCCTTTCCTAATTTAATTCTCTCATTCGCTTTATTTCATTTATTTATTAACAAACATTCCACTAGATTACGATAAATATTTTATCCATCATTTTAGTCATCATATTTTCTAAAATTATTTCTATTTCTAATATAACAATACTATCCTATGTACCTTTGCAGAATCCCTTTTACAATTAAGTTTTCACCCATTATCTCTAAACAGGCTTATACTTTCAATTCTTATACCTTTGCCCTGTTTCTCTATATCTTGTTTCTGTCCTTTATAACTTTTTTTCCTTTCCTTCTTTCCCCTCTTCTTCTCCCTCCCCTTTTTACCCCCTTGTCTCTTTACTTCTAATCCTCTCTTCTGTAATCCCCTCTTCTGTTGCTTTCTAATATTGTAATTATTTTTCAAACTATTCTTTTTTTGGTTGTTTTTTCAAATCTTAAACTTTTCACTCTCTTTCCCCCCTTTCCTTCCCCCCCCCCCATAAAATTACTTGATCATTAAAGATGGCTTCTTCTTTGTCCCAATCTTCTTGTTCTACAAGTGTTTCTTGTTATTTCACATAGTTCCAGATCTCCATTTCTAAGAGTTGAAATACGAAGCCAAAAGAACCTCTCCCTTCTTGTGCATTTTCTTTGTACTTTTTAAGTCCATTTTCAGTTCTTCTAAAAGTGGTGCTATTTTAAACACTTTTAAACAACCACCCAATTAATTTTAGTCATTTAAATGCAATAACCAAAAATCCAGAGATCACCAAATAATCCAAATAATCCCAAACTGTTTCTTCTTGCTTCTTTTTCCCACTTTCTCTTCCTGGGGTTCTACTATTTTGTTGCCAAGTTTTAGTTAAAATGTATCTTTTAGGAATCCTGTTGAGGTTTTAGTTCCAGGCCGTCTCCTCCATTTTTCCAGATCCTGCCCTTTTATTCCTTTTCTCTTCTTTCCTGCTTTTAAAAGTTTTTAAACATCCAAAAATCTTTATTATCCCTTTGACATTTTATTTTCAGCTTAAATGTCTGTTGATGTCAAAGTGGATTTTTTTTTTCAATTTCTTGCTTAAGTCTCTTAGCTGAAAGTATATGGAAGGGAAGAGAAAAAAAAACAAAACCAAATCCTTTCCCTCCCCTGTCACCTTCGCTGCTTCAAAATCTTCTTTGGGAACAATGTTTTTTTTTTATATAGTTTAAATTCCAGGGTACCTTACGTTGTTGCTTTTGCAGTTTAACCCGGTCAACCAAGACTTTCTCTTCTTATCTTCCTCCTGCACTTTCTTTTCCGGTCGAGTTCTTCTTTGAGGTGGCCATTTCTGACCACTGCTGCAACCGCCTCTGGGAAAGGGAGTAATGGCCAGCTGAGGAGCAGAGATGTGGCTCTCCTCAACCCTGCTGGCAGTCTCCCCCCTCTTCACCAACTCTACGGGGTGGCTTAGCCCCGAAACCAGCCGGCTCAGGGTGCTCCGGCGGCGAGCATGGATCGAAACCACGCACGATCGCGGTTTCGGTCTGTCAGCGAAGAAACTCAAACTGGAAGTCCATGTGACAATAATGAATACTCGTTTTGGGTTTTTTTTTCTAGAATTTTGGTTAATGTTTTGATATTTCTGACATTTTCTGGTGCTCTAGAATTTAACTTCATTCTCCCACCCCAGTTTCCATAGGCTGAGTAAGTCATTCACCAAGGTTTTATTTCCCATGGTTGAATGCTGGATGAAAAGCCAAGTAAATCATGAAGTCCACCTCTGTTTTATTAAAAAATATTGCTAGAAAATGACTCATATTTCTTTGGTGGCTTCACAGTTATAGAGATAGATGCTAATAATGTTGGATAACTAAATGCAACCTTGTGGAAAACCATGAGGAATCACTTGGGAGGTGAAAAAACTATCAAAAATATTTGAATTTGAGTAAGGCGTAGAATGTGAAATAACACTGCTACTCTAAGAAATAGACCAGAGCAATTTCCCCATGTTCAAATGCATTATTTCTTTCTTTTAAAGTAGAAATATAATAGCAGAAATTGCTTATGTGCTAAATGGAAATATTAATAAAGTTTTCATAGACAGAATTTAACGAAGTTAGGTTTACAAAAATATTAAACCAAGTATGTTAGCTTTCTTAATGAGACAATAGCACTCTTGCGTTTGTTCTGAGCAGCTAAAAGATGTTGGGTTTAGTAGTCACAAATGAATGTTTAATAATAATTCTCTCTCCTTTTTTTTTTACTCTCCTGCCTACTGGTTTTAAATTTATCCATTTTATATTCTAAAGACTTTGATCCTTATATAGTAGCAATAAAAATGCACATAAGAGTTCAGTCCAAAGAAAATAATTCTTAGAGTAGACCCAGTAAAATCTTTGGGAACATTGTTTTTGTTGAGTCTATAATTGACAGGTTTGGTACATGTTAGTAGATTTTTTTTTCTGTAAACCCAGATTTAACCTATAAAGAGCACTTAAACTTTTAAGGGAATTCAACTAACTAACATAAAATGGTCATAATAAAAAAAACCCTCACTTGCAAATAATTTTCGATTCCATAAGTTGAAAACTGTAATGTACTCATTTAATTTAAAAACATGTATCAGAATAAAAAAATGATGAATGTTAAGTAAATATGTGGAAGTATAAGCATATTCTTATTTCATGATCCCTTGTTTTTTTAAAAACTATTGATTTGTCTTGTAGAATTTTATTTTCTGTTGGTTTCTAGAAATGTTTACTTTCACAATGTAGAAGCAATCAAATATATTCTCAACCAGAAATTGTGTGCATTTGTATATCTAATTGGAATCTGTCAAAAATTTAAAACATTATATATCTGTTTATAGAGCAAAGTTTTTATTTATCGAGGAAAAGAATATGAACGCCGTGAAGATTTTGAAGCAAGATTATTAACACAGTTTCCTAATGCAGAAAAAATGAAGACTACATCACCTCCTGGTGAAGATATTAAAAATTTTCATGGTCAATGTATCCTTTCAAAGTTTTGATGGCCTTGCTGTAATCAGAATCTCAAGAATATATGGATTCTTGCCATACCTATGTTGTCTTATTGTTACATATGAATTGTATCTAGGCCAAGATGATAAGATGGAGTGAGATTTAGCCAAACATGGCTGATCATGAAGAAAGCTAAAGATGTTTGGAGTTGGATCACACTCAAGTGACATGCCAAGAAGAAATTCCAGAACTATAGAAATAGCAATAGCACTTAGACTTACATACCACTTCATAGTGCTTTACAGCCCTCTCTAAATGGTTTACAGAGTCAGCATATTGTCCCCAAAAATCTCATTTTACCCACCTTGGAAGGATGGAAGGCTGAGTCAACCTTGAGCCTGGTGAGATTTGAACTGCCAAATTGCAGGCAGCTGGCAGGCAGCAGAAGTAGTCTGCAGTACTGCACTCTAACCACTGCATTACCATGGCTCTATAGAAACTGGCGGGGGCGGGGGGACACAATGGCAGGCAGATTACTTCCTTTCCTTTTCTTATGATGGCCAAAGAAATAAAAAAGAGTCAAGCACAACTTGAGTGAATTATTTTTTATCATTAGTGTGTGTGTGTGTGTGAGAGAGAGAGAGAGAGAGAGAGATTAGGTATTCTAGTTGCAGAACTTTAACTACACATCACTGTAATTCTTAACATGTAACACAGATATCCAGTGCTTTACAGTAAAGCCAAAACTGGACTTACCATCAAAATTTCACAAGCCTGTATCAGAGCAAATATTAAGGTACAGACATTCGAAATGAGCAATTACTCTGAATAGCTTTCGTAGACTGCACTTGGTTAAATGTATTACCTGCTAAATGGCCTGAGGAACTGCATCTAAATTTATCAACACAAAAAGAAAGAGACAGTTTAAGGTGCAGCAAGAGATTATCTTTTTTCCATTTATCTCAGGGAAAAAATAATAATTTTGATTTCATGGCTGCTCTGTCCCTCATTCTCTGTTTTCATTTATTTTTCAATATTGATAAAAAGTAATTTGTGCCTGGCTTTTTGTTAGTGCAATTTCTGTTTTACCTGTCTTCTACACACATGCACAAGGCAGTACCCCTGATAGATAGTACTTTCAATCAGGTTTTGTTTTCTTATTTCTTAACTGAAATAAGAGATTTTTGAAACTCAAAATGACCTATGCCTCCTTATAATTCCTTCTAGACAGTTTCCCATAAAATAAATGAATGTAGTCTAAATATTACATATCACTAGTAACCAAAATGAAAGGTTTCCTGAGAGTTATCATGGCAGTACTATCTAAGGCATTAGTATACCATTAAAATAACATATCTTCATATCTTCTGAAAACTATGTTTAAAAGCATTGTTATTTATTTGAAAAATTAATATGGCCATAAGCATTCTCAGAGGCGAAGTCATGTCATTGTCATAATGTCATCACCAAGTTGATTTAAATTATGTGTAGGCCACAGATGTCATGACACAATTTGCCAGATAAGTTGTAGTGAACACTGATAGTGTCAATACCATAGCATTAAACTCATGACAGCTGAGCGCATCCAAAAAGAAGACTCTTGAAAAAGCTTCTCTAACCAGATTTATTAAAAGAGAAAAGGGATTTGATTACAGAAATTTCAACAACTGAATGTTTTTAGAACCCAATTTATAGGAGTTCATTTTCATTCTCTTGGGGGGAAAACCTTTTTAAGCATGAACATATGAGCTAGTTCTCACTTTTCCAGATAATAGAATAATGAATGTATGTTTTGAACTTATAATATTTTTCAGTCTGCCGTTTCTCTTTCCCAGACTCTAAGAAAAGAATCTTCTTTCTCAAGTCTCAGTTGAGGGAGTCCTAATGCAGAATTTCCATTCAACCATCACATGCAATAGTGGCCCCAGACTGATCACAATCTCTTAATAAGTCTTTATGAGAAAACTGGTTTTGCTTTTTACTTTGCTTGCACAGGCCTAAAGTACTGGCTAGTTGTGATATTGCAGACCAGAAAACTTTCTACACATAGATTAAAATTTAATTATGAAAAATAAGCAACATTCCTTATCAAAACCTGACACTAAAATTTGGTGGGATGATGACCCAATTCCATGTATCTTGTTAAGGGATTGTGATATTACAGTTTGAAAATCCTAATTTTAGGCTACTAAAATACATATATTAGCTCTATAAAAATATCACTTCCCTACAATGTTTAATACTTAAAGCCTTATTATCATCGTATTGTGGCCATATGAGAATATAAATGCAATTGTGTGTTCTTCTCTTTCTAGTTTCTATAGGGTAAATGAGGTTCAGCGGTTTGAATATTCAAGGCCCATTCGAAAAGGAGAGAAAAATCCAGACAACGAATTTGCGGTAATTTGAACATGTTATGCAGTTTTCTTAATGTCTTTTAAATATGCTTGTATAATATGTAAGAGAGAGCATAATATGCTTTCTGTAAATCTTTACAGTTTGTATGAATACATGACATTTAGTTTCTTGTGTTATGGAATTTCTTGTCATCAAATGCAAGATGAACAAAAAGATGAAACATTTAGTGTTTAGTTTTTTAAAAAGTGGTTGCAGTAAAGATTCTAGTCATGAAAAATTAATTCATGCATGAATTATTTTCATTAATACCAATTTTCCCCCCATTTAGTTTAACTAATTTAAAATACTTAACTCAAAAACTAAAATGGCTCCATTGAGTTAGACTCCATGTATGCATCATATTATTGGCAAACAAAGATTATAAACACTTTATTGAGGCTAAATTATAAATAATATTAAATGCTTCTCTTCATATAATATGCAGCTTGTATCAACTGGATGGGAGATGAGAGATAATTAAAGGAGATAGAATAGGAAAAGAGAGGAAATTAAACTCTTTTCCTCCATCTTCTGAAACTGATATTTGCACCAGTTGGGGGTTTTATCTCATTCATTTTCTAAGCAACAACTCTGTACAATTTTATCCTCTAAAAATAGCTGTCTACAGAATACTAGAGGATGAAATAATTGTTTGCCGTATAGGCTGTTTATATATCTGCATGTTGAAATGAAGGGAGAGATAATTCATTTGTGTTTCTATATGAATACAAAAGCTCATGACAAAATGTAAAGAAAATTAATTAAACTGGATGCAAAAGTGTTCTTTTACCAATTTTGGGCGGATGTGTTGCCACTGTGGCATTAATACAGTTGCTACTAGGCTTTTATATAATGACTACAAATTTTGGGTTAGGATAAGTCTGTCAGTCTATAAGCATTTTACTTCAAAACTTTTCTCTTAAATTACAGAATATGTGGATTGAGAGAACTATTTATGTGACAGCGTATAAACTACCTGGTATTTTAAGATGGTTTGAAGTCAAATCAGTATTTATGGTAAGTTCAAGTCAGAAGATATGTAATAGGTCTAATAAAGGTCACTTTATTAGATGGGCGATGCTTTTAAACAAATCAAAATGTATATAATTTTCTGATTCTTACATTTGAATGTTTGCAGAAATGTTCCATGAATTTATATTTGCGTCAGTCCTTCTAGGAAGACCAGACCAGGAAACCAAAGTCATGCAGGCCAATATTACTTTTTAAATAATTTTTTAAAATATGTTTCCCCTCTGTTTCTATCTTCCAGACAACTAGAACATTACACCTTATTTGGGAAATACCTTGCTGATTTTTTTTAGGTTAGAAGTGTCTTATTGTGAAATACTTAATCTGCTTGTCATTCCCGTAGTTCCCTCTGGACACCATTTTGGCCTAGATCCATTTATAGTATTTAAAAATGTTGGATAAGCAGCAGAGTTTCACTTTGCTATGAAGTGTTTTTGGAAATCTGAAATGATTAAATGATCTTATGTGCTATATAAGTATGAAATGAAAGATTTTGAAATGGCGTCATGAATGAACTATGGATTCAAAGAAATTGTTTTATATTAGGATGAAACACAATTTCTACCTACATCACTTTTGAGAATAAATTACAAGTCTTTCATTGTAATCAGTTTGCATTTTTGTGTAAGGGATTTCTGTTAGAGCAGAATGGTTTTGGATTTGAAATTCATGTCACTTACATACCATCTCCCCAAATTGAATTTGCCCATCCTACAAAGTTATTTTGGGAGGAGATGCTTCAGTTTTCTTCTCCATGTGACATTAAGGTGCTAGGGGCTTAGAGGTAGACCATTCCTATTGTCACAGTACCTGTTCAGACTGTCATATAAGATAAAATTCTATAATTCCAAAATGCTTAAATTTTAGTAGCTATATATTTACAAAGAATAATAGAAGAAAGTATGCAAAGAAATTTTGGAGTTTGTAATTGCCCCTCTATTTCATTGTAAACAACCACAAAATAAAACAATCAGAAGTGAAAATGTATTATCCAGATTGACAGAAATAATTAATTATTAGAGACAACATATTTGTCCTGCTGACTATGTTTATAGATAGGGCCTACTTATGCCTCCAGTTGAACACATGGCAAATTCAAACCTTCAAACCCATTGATCATACAGCTCCACCTATCTTCCCAATCTCCAGATCTGGAGATCTGAGATATGCCTGTAGTCACATGTTCACACAGTTGTCTATGTGAATTGGACCCTAACAACCTAGGGTTCCATACCAAGCAAAGAGTCTTGATTTGTTAAAACAACAACAACAACTTTCTTTCAGATCTCCAGCAAAATACATGATGGTTAGGGAGAATAAGGGGCACGTCCATGTACAGTCCTGTTTTTTTACCTGGCTTGAGATTACAATATATTCAGCAAATTCCCTAAACTCGATTTCTTTCTTCTGATTAGGATTTAGTCATATCACTAAATTTATAATTAGACATGGATTCATGATTGTTTCTGAAATATATTCCTTAATAAAGAATAAATACATGACTTCAGATTTAGTTCTGTCCTTTGAGTTATAGGTTAAACATTTAATTAACAGAAACTATTCCATCAAATAAATCCCATTAAAATCTAATGTCATTTTGATTAATTCAGTATTTTTATCTCTGTTCCATCTCTCCATACTTGTTGGTGAATATATACAGGTATCACAGATTTGTGATTTATTGTAATACAGTAACTTATTTTTACTCTGAAGTTTCCCAAAGAAAAATAGTTTATTTTGAAAAGTGTCTGAATCATAGGTTGTAAGCTTGGAAGTCCTGATAAAAATCTTTTCCTCTTGACTGAGGCAAATATTGGAATAAGCAATAGATAACTCAAGTGGAACATGCACATATACTTACAGTGAGAAGACAGGAGAGATCATAAGGCACTGAGATTAGAGGATTCGTATATTCGCTGAATGTATGAAATAACAGTATGTTGATAAGCTGTAAAACATTAGAAAAGTAGAGCGAAGGATACTGACAGAGGAAAAAGTACAGAAACTCTGTAATATAAGATTATAGATGAAATATTCTACATTTAAAAAAAAGAAAATATAAAAAATTGAAAATGTTAATCTAAATATCTAATCTAAATATATTGCCTGAATTATATCAGAACAGGTTAGATAGCCTAACATTAGAACTATAGCAGCAGAGTTTGAAATTGTTAGGCCATTGGATGCAACTCCCTGCTCTGCCCCAAAATCCAAATTATAGTTTGCCAAATGATAGTTGATTAGCTTCCTTTGTGTGTGCAGTAAAGATGATCTCACTACCGCTTTGGGTAATTGGCTTCAGTGTCATGCTGATCTTATTTTTAGGAGGTTCTTCTAACATATTTTCTAACATTTAAAGAAATCTGACTTTATGTAACTTAAATCCATGGTATCATAACCTGGAGTTGTAAAATAATAGAGAATAGATCTTCTCGATCTTTCTGATGCTTTTAGAAGAAAGTTATATTTCCTATCATTCTTCTCTTCTCAAACTTCCTTCAATTTCTCTTTGAAATAAAGTTTCTAGTCTCATCATTGTTTTCTTCTAGATTCCTTCTACTTTGCCTGTTTCACTTTTAAAAGGATGGGCAGATTTTGACAAATGCTCAAGGTGAAAATCCTGTTGATGCATCTCGAAATAAAAGAAAAAAATGATACTACAGATTTCAGAGACCTGTTATAACTTTGATAGTGTCATATGTTTTTGGTGCTGTGTCAACAAAGATGCAAAAATATATTTGGTCAGCAGAAATAAGTCCTGGTACTGAGACCTTCTTACCGAATTAAGCTAAATAGAACAAATAATGTAATCAGTCAAGATATAACCTCAGCAATATTCTGTAGGATAATGCAGTGAATGTTTAAAAACTAGATTTAATGAATTAGATTTGATAAAATCTCTGAAGAACTCTAGACAGAAATGTATTATATGTATTAAATGTAGTAAGAAGCCAAATTGTCCTTCAGCTGGTATGTTGAAAATAGCTAAAGAGAGGTGATACAAGAGAGACAGAGGAAAATTTTGCCCTCACAAAATACTGAGTTTTAGAAAAGAAGAAACAAGGAGTTATATCTAAAGGCAAAGCAAGGAATTGATAACAATTTCAGATATCAAGACAATCTTTTGTCCAAAGATGGGCAATATCAAGAATAAAAAAAGATAAAACGTTTCCTAGACAAAAAATTGGTATAAATAAATATAAGAACTGTCCCCGGCAATCTACAAATTGATGATACCTATGAAGTACTAAAAAAACATTGCTAACAACAAAACCACAGAAATGAAATACCAACAGAACTGTTTAAAGCTTTGCACGATAATTACTAATTTGCAGTTAGTAAACAGATGTGGCAAATACAGCAAGATTAAGGAAGTGGAAAAAAAATCAATTTAAATTCAGCATCAGAAAAACTTCAGTGCTAAAAATTGTTGAAGTACCAAACAATTGCAGATACCTGATAATGAGAAAATGGTCAAGGTTTTGCATTCCATGCTTCAACAATCCATGGAACAAGCACTGTCAGATGTACAAGCTAGATTCAAAAGAGGCAGCTCATATTGCTAAACACTTCTGGATAATGGAGAAGGCTACAGTTTCCCAAATATATTTTTAATTGATTATTTGAAGGCTTCTTACACTATAGATACAATAAATTGCCCAGAGCACTTAGAAAGATGGGTATACCAGGCCACTGTCTAAGGTGTACCAGTAAGGTAGTAATACACTAATTATGCCAGGCCACCTTATTCTATGATGAGCAAGAAGCAACAGAATGCAATGTGAAGCAACCAAATCATTCTGATATAAGAAATTAGTGTACCAAGACAGTACCAAACTGTCTCCTTATTTAGTTATATGCAGGAGAAATCCTTGATTAGAAGAAATAGAAAGTGGAACTAAAATAGCTGGAAGAAATAACAACAACCTGTAAAACATGCTGATGATACTTTTTTGATGGCTGCAAGCAAAGAGAACATAAAACAAACCTCTTATTGAAGGTGAAAGAAGAGAAACGTCTTCATTGGCCACTATGCCGCTACTAATTAACATTAGACAAACTAAGATTGTGTCAATGCCAGTCCAATTGAAATAGATAGAGACTCCATCTTCCCATGGTCAAAAATTTACAAGAACAGTGATTGTAGTCATGAAATAAAGAGACGCCTGTGAGAAAGACTATGACAGGTGTATACAATATATAAAATTGCACAAATAATACATTGATGACAAACATACCTTTTCTGAAGGCCCTTCTATTTCCAATTCTGATCTATCCCTATGAAAGTTATTTTTAGGGGGGAAATGTCTTTAAATTCTAGTATGTAGATCAGGGGTCCCCAACCCCCAGTCTGTGGATTGGCACCTGGATGCTGCATGCCAGAAACTGAGCCGCACAACCCAATGAAAGCTCATCTGTGGGATACACAGCACATGTGAAACCATTCCCCCTACAGTATGAGAAAATGCCTCTCTCCACAGAACCGGTCCCAGGTGCCCAAAAGGTTGGGTGTCACTAATGTAGAAAATTGGTAAGAATACTCTCAACCAAAAGGATCATTCAGTGCTAGATGAGTTAAAAGCACACAGCTTGCTGGAAGCATTAATAATGAAGTTAAAATTTAAATATTTTGGAAATTTAATTAATTAAGATAGTTAATTAACACAGGTTGAACGTAATCAATATGTGTAATTAAGTGACAGTTATAAAGACTTGATTATGAGCCTTTCAGAAATATCTTAAGCGACTAGTGTTTTTCTACAAAGTTTATGAAAATTATAGCAATCAGATATAAAATTGCATTTTGGCATACCTCAAATGTATGCCATTTTTTATACAAAAGGGTATGTCTCTGTTGGATTGGAGAAGAAAAAGAGATCTCTCTTTAAATAATTAAAATAAAAGTAAAATTATTAAAACTGTCACTGCATGCATAGTCAGGAACAGCTTCTAAAACAATTGTATTTGATAGGAAATGGAAACAGCTGCATTACTAGTTGAAAAAGAAATACTTTCTTTGTGCTCCTGTGCATGGCACATCTTCCAAAACATTACAATAGTCTTACTATTTTGTGTTTTTAATGAAAAAACTTTGCGACAGGAAATACATGCTAGAGATTAACAATTTTTTATTATCTTTCAGTCCTCTTCATCCTGCATCTTTTTAGTTTCAAAAAGAGTCTACCCTGTGACACAATGCATGATAGTAAAAGGTGACAGCAGTTTGTCCATTGAATGTACAAAGAGCTGCCATGCAGCTTTTGATGTGTTCAGTTTCTGCTTTACTATTTGTGAGGGATAGTTGATCTAAACCAGGGCTGTCAAACTCGTGGGCCACGGGCCGGATCCGTCATGCACTGTCCATACTCTTTACCAGTTTAGTGAAGGGAGAAAAAAGCCCCGATATGTCACGTGATGCTGCGAGTTTGACACCCCTGATCTAAACAAATGCACTTTTTGCTCATTATCAAGTTGTTGTATTTATCTGTCCAAATTTTTGAGCATGAGCATCATTATTCAATGTTTTGTTTTAAAATTACATTAATTTTTTTTCAGGGACAACAATCTCTTGTTTTCAGTTAATATTTGAATTCAAACTACTACAGCTCTTGTAATCATGTTTTTGTTACACCTTTGTTTTCTCAGATTGAAATCAGTCCCCTTGAAAATGCAATTGAAACTATGCAGTTAACAAACGATAAAATTAACAATATGGTTCAGCAACATTTGAATGATCCAAATCTACCTATTAACCCTCTCTCTATGCTGCTAAATGGCATTGTGGACCCTGCAGTCATGGGAGGCTTCACCAATTATGAAAAGGTTTGGTTGGTTTTTGTTCTCTCAGTAGTGATACCGTAGAGATGAAAAATAAAGAGCTTAATGGCAATGACAATGTAACGACTTACTGAATAAGCGACTAATACAGGGATCCCCAACCTTTTCGACGCCGCGGCCCGGTTCCGGCGTCAGCTGGGCGCCGCCATCTTTTTTGACGAAAAATTGCTTTTTTTACCAAAAAAAGATGGCGGCGCCCAGCAACCAGCGGCCCGGTAAGGCTTGTTCCGCGGCCCGGTACCGGTCCGCGGACCGGCGGTTGGGGACCCCTGGACTAATAAACTGATTAGTAGCCATTACTAGCAGAATGTATTTCATATTAAAAATGGATAATCATTTGCTAATATAAGTACTTTTAAAATGTTTTTTGTAGTAGTTCAGGCAAGACAGAGAGTCACTGAAACTGGAAACTAAGGTGAACCATTTCTTGTTTGATGAATAAGTAATGAGGATTAGTAGACAGAAGAGAAAATCAAGGAAGAATTTATGAGGTCTTGTTTCTTTGTCCTCTTCTCCCCTCTAAATTATTAGACAACCTGAAGAATTAAATCTGATTTGAAAGTCATATTAATCTACCACTGGGCCATTTGGCATCTGGGGTAAGGCTTTAAGGAGGGCCCTTCAGCCACATTTTTACAATGGCTTAATCCAGACATCACGTGAATCTTCTAAAAGTCAATAGTGGGCTGAGGGAGCAGCAATTTAACCCCAAATTGTGACTCAGTTGGCAGGTTTGTAATTATCAGTTTATAGTTGTGATTTAGATTGCCGCCTATGTTGAAGAAATCTCAAAACCCATGCATCTGTGTGGTAGTATACAATTCTGTAAAATAAACAGCAGACAGTACACTTCTGGTTCAGGGCCTCATTATATAAAGCAGGACTGAAGAAATTAGATATAGATTCTGCATTATTACAGTGATCATGTGCTGCTAGATACAAGAGTAGAATGCTGTGAATGGCTAATAAGGTAAGCCAATAAAAGCACCTCTTCTGACTCAGGTGTGCTTGTCCTAAAGGGAGACCAAGGACCCTTAGGTGACTGTTGTTGGATTTAACCACCATGTGTAGGTCTTTGTTACCCCTAATGGGGCAGGGAATGAATCAGCTTGCTAGACCAAGGCTTATATTCCCTAATTAGAATGTATTAGTACTGAAAGGGCTTAAATTGACCACAAATTCGGCAGCAATGATTATTAATTATTGATAAGTAGACAAAATTATGTTATTTTTACCATAATTTGAAATTTATTTTATTTAATTAGGCTTCCTCAAATGGCCTGTAGTAATAATCTGTGCAGGTATAATTCTGTGACTTTTTAACATACACATTGCATCATTTAGTGGCTCAGAATCATAGCATTTGGCACCGTTCTAGTAAGAAACTCACTACTAAATATAACTCAAGATGAAGCAAGGTTGTATAAATGCAACATGGTGCATGTTAAGGAGCTTTTAAAAGATGGTTGTCATTTATATATTTATTTGTCCTTATTAAAAAAAGCCCCCATCATTAGCTGTTTTAAATGAAAGAAAGGTCACATTTCACAATGCATGATTCCAATGTTCATTCTCTATGATTGACATTATGACAATCTTTAATGATAATTATATTCGATCCTATGCCTGTTCAGATATTTAGCTCCTTTTGAAATGTTAAAATTCCAGGACTGTATTTTCAATTAGAAATACAATTGAAATACAATTCAATCTATTTCCCCACTATAAAAAGTTTGTTTTTTTCCAAAAAACATTTTAGAACTACTCTTAATTTTTTATTAAAAGGCAGAGTCATTTATGAAGTAATAAACCATCAGTATCTATTAGTCATGATGACAGATAGTACTTCCAAAATGGTTCTGTTTATCATTTTTTTTGGAAAACACAAGTGGGAGATTGCTATTTTCCTCATCTCCTGCTTCATTTCTCATGGTCATCTGTTTTAAACATGAACACTTTAAGTGTCTTATAATTTTTTTATACATGCCAATTAATATTTTTAATATTCAAATTTGAGATAGTTCTTATTTTTCTTTCATAAACTGATAACCTTATTTGCTGATGCAAATAACGATATGATTAATATTTTATTATTTAGTGCCTTTATGCCAAATATAAAATTATACTTGGTATAAAGGTTATACTGGGGGTATCATGGCTCAGCGGTTAAAGACACTGAGCTTGTCATCTGGAGAGTTGACAGTCTAGGTTTGAGACTCAAGCTCCACACAATGGGGTGAGCTTCTGTTACTTGCCCCAGCTCCTGCCCATGTAGCAATTCAAAAGCATGCAAATGCAAATAGATTAATAGGTAACACTTCCATGGGAAGATAACAGCCATCCATGTGCCTTTGGTGTATAGCCATGCTGGCCACATGACCATGAAAATTGTCTGGCTCCCTCAGCCAAGAAACGGAGATGAGCTCTAGAGTCAGACATGATTGACATGGAAACCTTTAGCTTTACTGTTATACCAATATTTATTTATTTTAATATGTCACTATTAAAATAGAAATATTGTTCCCCAAAAGGCAATGTTAATAGTGGCCGTAATAGAGGAAGAGATAGCTGAGATAAAACAAGCTCTCACATAGCCATCATTGGTCTTCCTTCCAAGTCCCCCATGGCTCAGTTGGTGGTAATGGCCCTTAAGGAAATGAGGAGAAGAGCACGTGAAGTAGGCATCTACTTTCCTCCTTCTCAGAAAGATTTTCCTCAGAACTATTGTTAACATTAATGTTTATTATTATTACTCATTGTATAAATGCTATTGTATTAAATAACTGCTGGCTTTTTTCCCCCATTAGGCTTTCTTTAATGAGAAATACATATATGAACACCCAGAAGATCATGAAAAAATTGAAAAGCTAAAAGATCTAATTGCATGGCAGGTAAATCAGATTGACAAGGAATCAAATATCTTTTTCAAATAGTTTATTGACACTTTTGACAAAAATGAGGCATGAAAGAATTCACTTTAGTGCATATGTTTATTGTCTGGGCTGATTTATTCCATTAGTGATGAAAAGGAATATAGAGATATAAGTTAGATTTCCAAGGTGTAAATTATCATATTGGGATCACAGAAATCTTAATTATAAACATTTTATGACAAAGTTGTGCTAAAGTACAAAATATGGAAGATATAATTAATAAATAAAAGAGCAGTTTCCCCCAACTTGCTGCCCTTATAATGAGTTATATTTTAATTTCTAAAATCTCACAATAAGTTTGGAATTTATATGTTTTCTGAGTTTATTATGAGAGCTAATCCAATATATCTTGTGGGCACCAAGTTATGGAACCAAAAAAGGAAAAATCTTAAAAATAAGAAACTAGAATTAATAGATGGTGTTCTCTAAAGTAGCTAAAAGTAAGAAAACAGGTGTATATTTCAGGTTTTATCACTGCTTTATGCATCATAAAATAGCCTGCCTGTGGCTTCAGAGAATATTGAATATGCTTAAACTTCACTGAGCTTTTTAAATGATTTTTCTAAACCAGGTTTAGTAACTTTCTGGGGATTATCAATTACATGGTTCTCCTATATATTCTTGTATTTAGCCATGAGTTTCGACTAGAAATTACTTAATTAGAAAATTAATTACAAATACTGTTGACAGCAGGTTACTATAAATTAAAACAGAATAAGAAAAGGAAAGAAGTCCACTGAAGGGGAAAAGTGATCTCAGATGTGAAGTTTGCTGTTATAAATTAGAAGAAATACGAAGTTGATGTTGCAGAAAAAAGTAACATTGATGAAGGGGAAAAAATAAAACCTTCCAATGACTAAATCATTAGTGGATATCTGTAATTCAAAAATATCTATTAAATATAAATATATGTCATTATAGTGATTTATGTGATGTGCAGATGATGCTCAATTTCATTATGCAAATGATAGAAATGATGTAAATTGCCACAGAAATTTGCTCCGTTGCATAAAAAAT